CTCATGGAAATTTGTTTAAAACAAAGCAAAAGACTAAGTAAAATCAATTAAGATGAACAAAACATAATTAGATGGAGTTCATTTTGCAAATTAAATTAAAATTCAAAAATAAAGAAAAGCAAGTGATTCTCAAACTTCAAGCACAAATTGGAACCCACAATTATTTTATTTTGCTTACATTTCATAACCTATAATTTTCTATATATTAATAAAAAATATAATAATAGTTTTAAGATTTATAATAATATTATATATATTGGATTATATTCCTAAAATTTAGGATGGACATCATGTGGTTCAGTGGAAATTACTCTTAGTGTCTACTTTCAGAACTTGATCTGGAATCCTCACAATGGCAAGGGAGATATTTTATTTTGCTCCAACTCTGTGAAATAACCGAAGTGTCCTGTTAAAAAACTATAAATAAATAATAACATCAGGTTCTTTTTTTGTCCATTCATTCCCATTTTGTTTTCTGCGACTGTGATGTGCGGGAGGGAGAGAGAGGAAGGGGGTTCGAGAATCATCTTCCTTCGTCCTTCCTGTCGCCGGCACGTACTTGTGGAGGAGAGCTACTCGTTGTTGCTGCAGGTCAACATTCAGTTTGCTGGATCTTCTTCCAACTCAGTTCTTGTCATTTGATTCTTCTTTCCTTGCTTTGTTCTGTCACCAGTAATCTTTTGTTTCTCCCTGTTCGTGTTGCTTCGGTACTGTATGGGGGAGTGCTTTATTCCTCCTCCCTTTAGCACAATCTGGTGTTGGGTGTGTCCAAAAAAAAAAAATCCTTTCCTCGCATCGTTTTTGTGTGCTGCTGGGTAGGTTGAATTTTTTTTTTTTATTCTATCTCTTCAATTGCTATTCGTGAATTGGGAGAGGGGTAAGAGTTTGATGAAAACTAAAATTGGAAGGGTAAGGACTTTATTTTAGGGAGACATTCATATTCCGTATTTAGTTTTAGACGATAGAGGAAGAAAAGGAAGATTCCTAGTTATGTTTGAATGGATTATTGACAAAGACATGAGTTTGGGAAGTATAGTAATGTTTAGAAATTGTTGAGCAAGAGATTTGAAGAGTATGAGACTTGATGGTATAGTCTGAAATTTGATGCCCACCAAGTGTTCGTTAAAATGTGTAGAAGAGTTGGAATGGAATAATTAAATATATTCAATGTATTAAGGACTAAAATTTAAATTTGGGATCATGTTTTTCTCTTATACGAAGTCAGATATTGTTATAAACCTTATAAAAAATGTAAATGTTTGAAAGTTGTATGGTTGGCAATTTACAAATTTTGGTACTTGTATATGATTTGATTTTAGAACTAATATAAAATGTTTGATTTAATTGAATAACCAATCATGGGTAATGAATCATTGACTATGTTTTAGTATAGAAAGTTATTCTATTTTATGTTGCAACTTGGATTAAGGACTTTGCTTACATATAGGCATTGGAAAGTGATATGGGATCTATGAAGATTGTTGTATTTAATTATTTATTTTTAACTTGTAATTTATTTTATTTATTTAAATCTTCAAGGATATTAAAATAAAGTACCATGGCTTCAAGTTATGGTGTTGTGAAAAGAGTGCATACGTAAACAAAGAGTTTGGCAAGGACATTGTTTAGTTAAAGTGTATTATGTGTTAATGGATTATTAACTTTGAGGACTATAGAGAAATGTGGAAGGAAATGAATGTCTTTGGAATCAAAATTAAAAGATTAATGTTCAAGAGCAAAGGAAGAATATAATACATAATTAAGTGAGGGAACAATTAAGAGTTTTATAAAATTTTTAAAGGTTCAACTATCATTATATTGAAAGGTTTTTGAAATAAACCATGTTGTGAAGAGTATTAAGGAGTAAATTATATTGTTAGGATTGTCTCAGCTAAGTGAATAATATTCCAAATTAACTTACCCACAAATTTTTTTTTAAATGAAATATTTCTTTATTTTTTTAAAAAAATAGATTTGATGTACCATTTCAAGTGTTGAAGATTTTGTTAATTATGTTGTTTTAGCTTGTGAAGTTGTAATTTGTATGGTTAAGAATATTAAAATTATGATATTTCCATGTATATTTTAATTATAAAATATATCTTGAACGTTCACGAAAAAGTTTTATTAGTTATAAGAATCTTTTATTTGATAAAGAGAAGTTTGGAATTGGTGAAAAACTTTATTTTGAGAAGGATTGAGATTTTTTAAAAGGTTCATGCAAGTTTGATATTGAAAATAAAAAACTTTATCTTGATAATGATTATTTTCTTACATGTTTTAAAATTGATTTTGAGAGGACTACACACAGAACACTAGTTGCTAACGGCAGTTCCGTTAGACTTTAGCGCACCATGGTTATGACTAGCTAGTTTGATTTTTATGAACTTTGTCTTCACGTTTGTTATTTGTGGGTCTCGTACCTACGTATGATTTCGTGACTTCGAGCCGCATTTGGTTAGTATTACTCTCATGGATTGTGTATCCATATTTGTTTTGTAGCTTAGGCCGTGTTTAATTACTTACTCTTATAGATTGTGTGTTCACATTTGTTTTTGTGATATAAGCTGCATTTGGTTATTTACTCTCGTGGACTGTGTGTCCATATTTGTCTTCATAGCCTATGCTGCATTTGTTTTTTACCTTTATGGACTGTGTGTCCATATTTGTTACTTGTTTTGCAAAGTTCTCATGTCAACTTTGAGCTGTTATTAATCTTTTTCTAATTATTTTTCACCTTTTCAATAGCACCTTACACTAGATCTAGTTCCAAAAGCATAGTATCACCCACATCAAACCATTCGATAGGAGACCTACACTACTTATCACACAGTGTCTCATATAGAGCCATTTATATACTAACTTAATAACTGTTATTATAAGCAAACTGTACCAATACCAAGTAATGATCCCAACTACTACTAAAATTTAAAATACAAGACCTTAACATGCATTACCAAGATGATAAAGAATTGTACAATCATAATCCTTTAACAACTCCATACATTTTCTTTATCTATGATTAAGATCCTTCTACTAAAAATGTACTTAAGACTCTTATAATTAGTGTAAATCTCATAATTCTCACCATAAAGATAGTGGCAACATATTTTTAATGCAAAAAAAAAGGAAAATAACCGCTACCATTTCTAAATCATGTGTTTGGCAGTTTTGATTGAGCTTCTTAAGTTTCCTTAAGACATAAGCAATAACTTGCCCATGTTGCATTAAAACATAATCTTTAGTATATCCCCTTTCTTGATCTTTAACTGGTGATAACCCAAATGCAAATTATTATTATTATTATTATTTTTCAAAAAAAAAAACACTGAGTTATTGCATCTGGTCAAGAAGATTATCGTTTTGAAGTAGTGAATACTTATTATGTACTATCACCTTATTAAGTTGTCAATAATCAATACAAGTATTAGTGACCCATTCTTTTTCTTCACAAAGAGCACGAGTGCTCCCTAAGGAAAGGTGCTAGGTCAAATAAATCCCTTATCCAATAATTCTTGCAGTTGATTCTTCAGTTCACTCAGGTCTGAAAGTGACATTCTGTAAGGCGGAATATTATGAGATACAGTGTATTACATACGAATATCATGGGATTTGATTAGCATCGGTTACATACACATTCTGCATATATTCTTATAAAGACTTCATAATCAATATACACATAATTTCTCTTCCAAATACTTTTCATGGTATCAAATCAGTCGATTACAGAAACATAAATAGCCTTTGAAGCCAAACTAAACCCATGGCCGAGAGTGAGAAAACCAATGAGAACATCCTTCCTGATGCACAAAATGCAGGGGTCGATATGATGTCGCCATATTTCATCCAGGCTTCCGATAACCTAGGACAAGTTTACGTAGATGAACTGCTCTGCGAAGGAAACTATGAAGAATGGGTGAATGACATGAGCAATTTTTTATTCGCCAAGAACAAAATTGGTTTTGCCGACGGAACGATTCCGATGCCCACAGTAGACTCTCCAAATCTCAATCATTGGATGCGTTGCAATGCCATAGTTAAAGGGTGGCCCAAGAGTGCAATAGACAAAGAGATATGGAGTAGCGTTTGATATGCAAAAACAGCTAGAGAGGTGTGGGTTGATCTCAAAGAACAATTTGAAAAAGGTAGTGCACCCAGAGCATATGAGCTGAGACGTGCCATTGCATACACATGTCAAGAGAAGCAGTCTATGCCAACCTTCTTCACAAAACTAAAGGGTTATTAGGATGAGGCTGATTCCATCATGCCATGGCCGAAATGTACTTGCGGTGGGTGCAAGTATGATCTGCAGAAACAATTGATAGAAATGAAGGAGAGAGATTATTTGTATGACTTTCTCATGGGCTTGGATGAGAGTTATGACACAATTAAAATGTAAATCTTGAGCATGAAACCTGTACCGTGACTCAAGATTGCATACCATTTGGTAGCGGAGGATGAGCAGCAGAAACATATCTCTGCCACATATAAGCCAGAGGTTGAAGCGGCAGCTTTCCAAGTACAAAATGATCAAAGAGCTAGGGAAGGAATTCATAAGCGGGAAAAGCCAAAATGTAACCAGTATAATAAGATTGGACATAGTGAAGATCATTGCTATGATCTGATTGGTTACCCACCAAATTGGAAGAAGGGAGGTCGAGAGCGAATGGATAAATGCTTTGGACCTAAAGCAGCTCAGGTTAGTGGTGAATCAAGCCCTATACCAAGACTCACATTTGAACAGTATGCCAAGCTTATAGAATGTCTCAATCTTTGGCATAGAAACCGAATGAAAAAATTACACTCTTGTTTATTTTTCAACTTGGTTGCTTAATACACTGGATCCATGGCCTATTTATACTGGAGTCATGGCCAAACAAAAATAGAAACAAAATAACAAAATTAAAACGGGGGTTTCACAGGTTACAAATGAGTTTTGAATGCTTTTAAATGGAGAACGTTTCAACATCTTCATCAGCTTTCGTTTTCTGCCGTTTTCATCAGCTTTCATTTCTGCCATTTTCTATTTCATCCTCCCCAAGGTCGATGGAACTCGTGCTCAAGTCAAATTTGGCATCATGATCGATGTAAAGAGATAGATCAACAACATTGAAGGTGGCAGATACACCATAAGAACCAGGTAATTCAACCTTGTAAGCATTGTTGTTGATCTTTTGCACTATCTTGAATAGACTATCAGCTCTTAGGGACAACTTGGCATTTGGCTGTTTAGGAAACCGTTCCTTTTAGAAATGTATCCAAACTAAGTCTCCTACCTTAAAAGTCTACTATCTTCGATGCTTGTCACGTTGAGCCTTGTATCTCAAATTCTGCTTTTGGATTCGCTCACGAACTTGCTCATGCAACTTCTTAATTTCCTTAGCCCTTTGGTCAACATTAGAGCTATATTGCTACTTATCAAGTGAAGGGGTCAAGTCTAGTAAACTAAGGGGACGAGTGCTATAAACAACTTCAAATGGACACTTCCCAGTTGCTTGGTTGATAGAGTTATTAAAAGCAAACTCAACTTGAGCAAGAATAAGATCCCACTACTTCAAATTCTTCCCCACAAAAATGTGAAGAAGATTACCAAGAATCCTATTTATAGCCTCAGTTTGACCGTCTGTCTGAGGATGACTATCACTGCTACACTGGAGCTTAGTTCCCATCTTCTTCCATAGCGTCCGCTAAAAGTGGCAAAGAAACTTCACATTACGGTCAGAAGTGATAGTTTTAGGAATGCCATGAAGACGCACAATCTCCTTAAAGTACAAGTCTGCTACTTGAACTGCATCGTTGGTCTTCTGGTATGGAATGAAATGGGCCATTTTTTAGAAACGATCCACAACTACCATGACAGAATCTCTTTTCCTCTGAGTCTGTGGTAAACCCAGAACAAAATCCATAGTTATATCTTCCCAAGGTGCTTCTGGAATTGGCAGAGGCATGTATAGTCCAATATTCTGACCCTTGGATTTAGCCAAGTGATAAATTCTGCATCTTTGTATATGCCTGTTGACATCCCGTTCAAGTCGAGGCCAGTAAAAGTTCTCCTTCACCAGGTCAACTGTTTTATCTCGTCTAAAATGTCCTGCTAATCCTCCATCATGTGCTTCCTAAATTATGGCTTCTCTTAAGGAACCTTGTGAAATACAGAGGGTTTTACCTCGAAATAAAAACCCGTCGTGTCTGTAGAACTAGTGGAAAGGTTGATTTACAGTTGCTTCCCACACTCCTTGGAAATCAGGATCATCCTGATACAACTCTTTGACAAGGTCAAATCCAACAACCTTGGTTTGTAGTGTTGTAAGTAGCACATGGCGACGACTAAGGGCATCAGCTACGGAGTTCAGAGTTGCAGCCTTATGTTTAATAAGGAATGGATAAGACTATAAAAGTTTACTCCAACGAGCATGTCTGCGACTAATCTTCTGCTGGGAATTTAAATACTTGAGAGCCTCATAATTCGAAAAAAGGATGAACTTTTTATTCAGGAGATAATGACTCCAATATTGGAGAGCTCGAACAATGGCATAGAATTCCTTGTCATAGGTAAAATATCTAAACTTGGCATAATTAAGCTTCTCACTAAAAAAGACAATGGGATAGCCCTCCTGGCTTAAGACAACACCAATGCCGGTGTTAGAAGCATCACAGCTAACTTCAAACACTCGGTCAAAGTTAGGAAGAGCAAGGACTGGAGCTTCAGTCAACTTTTTCTTAAGCTCCTCAAAGCTTTTCTGAGCTTGCTCTGTCCACTGAAACTTCTCTCCTTTGGTGCAATCTGTAAGTGGTGCAGCAATTGAGCTAAAATTACGGATGAACCTCCTATAGAAAGAAGCTAATCTGTGGAAGCTTCAAACCTCCTGGATAGATTTTGGAATTGGCCAGCTGTCAATGGCTATAACTTTGCTTGGATCAACGCAAACACCCTCTGCGGTAATGATGTAATCCAAGAACACAACTTCGCTGGTAAGGAAGGTGCACTTCTTGAGATTTACATAAAGCTTCTGTTCACGCAAGGCTTGTAAAACTTGCCACAAGTGATCTAAATGCTCCTCTTGATTCTTATTATAAATAAGAATATCATCAAAGTACACAATAATAAATTTACCAATGAAAGGTCTCAATACTTGATTCATCAGTTGCATAAATGTGCTAGGGGCATTTGTTAACCCAAAAGGCATCACATTCCACTCATATAAGCCATCTCTGGTTTTGAAAGCGGTCTTCCACTCATCTCCTGGCCGAATTCTGATTTAATGATACCCATTACAAAGGTCAATTTTGGAGAAAGTAGTGGCACCATGTAACTGGTCTAGCATATCATCAAGCTAAGGTATCAGAAATGGATACTTAATAGTGATCTTATTGACGGCTCGACAGTCAATGCACATTCTCCAACTTCAATCCTTCTTAGGTACTAGAAGAACAGGTACAGCACAAGGGCTGATACTTTCTCGAACCAACTCTTTCTTCAACAACTCTTCAACTTGCCGTTAGACTTCGACATGTTCCTGGGGACTCATCCTGTAAGCAGGCTTGTTAGGAATGACTGCTCCTAGAACGAAGTCAATGGTATGCTGTATGTCTCATATAGGAGGCAACCCAAGTGGTATCTCATCAAATATTACATCTGGAAATTCTGATAATAGCGGAATGACTCTAGGTGGATTGGCCGCCTCGTTGTTCACCTCAAGCACCAGAATAAAGATCATCATTTGGGCTTCGGATTTTAACACCTTGAATTCCTCCTTAGTCATCAAAGACACTAACGGCTTTAAGACACTAGATTCCCTTGAAGATTGGCTAATCTCACTAGGTGGTAGAGTCGCTAGTGTGAACTTGACACCATCTTTCATGAAAGAATAGGGGTTCGCTCGACCGTTGTGCATAGCATATCAGTCATATTGCCATAGCCTCTCCAAGAGAAGGTGGCATGCATCTATAGGAACAATATCACATAAAACTTCATCACAATATCGATTCCCAATAGAAAAGGTCACAAGGCATTATTTAGAAACTTTTACCTCATTCCCTTTGTTGAACCAGTGCAGCTTGTAAGGTTGTGGATGATCTTGTGTTGGCAACTTTAATTTCTCCACCATGTAGTCAGATACTATATTTTCACAGCTTCCACTATCAACGATGACATTACAAACTTTTCCTTAGGTCGTGCAACGAGTGTGAAAAATGTTGCGTCATAGCTAAGGTTCTTCTTTGACTATTGTTGTATGCAGACTTCGTCTAAGCACCAATGCTTCTCCTTGATCAGCAGGTATGACCTCCTCATCATATACTAGATCAGTGCTTTAGAACTCAGCATCCTCCTCATCTTCTTCAAGTGCTTTATACCCTGATCCTTCCCTAATGGTGACAACCCGTCAAGTAGGACAGCTTGTAGCAATGTGGCCAAATCCTTGGCATTTAAAGCATTTGACTGCTTTAGAACCAGATTCCTTGGCAATATTAGATGGTGGTTTACGCATAGCAGTAAGTTGTGGCTTGCTTGAGGAGTTGGTCTGCTGAAATTCTACCTTATGACCTTCTGGATAACCCCTAGAGGATAAAGGTTGGAAAGTAGACCCTCTTGGGCATCTGCTTCTCAACACGTAGGGCTAGATGGATGACATCATCCAAGGTCCAATATTGTTGAAGCTGGACTGGACAACTAATATCTGCGTTTAAGCTTGTAAGGTACCGGGCTATTGTTTGCTCCTCCTTCTCCTAAATATCACACTTCATCATGAGTTGTTCAAACTCTCTAGTACATTCTTGTACAGATAAGGATCTCTGTCGAAGATTTTGCAACTGGATAAAATTATCCTAGTGGTAATGATCTGGCAGAAATTTCCTAGTGAGCTGGCATTTCATTTTCTCCCAGGTCTCAATCTTATACTTTCCCTCATGTTCCTGCTTCCGTCTGAGGTTTTCCTACCAAATAGAAGCATGTTTCTTGAGTTTGAGGGCGACAATCTTGACTTTTTGCACATATGGAATCTCCTTGTATTCAAATACTCGTTCAATAGTTTGTAGCCAATCTACAAACTCGTCTGGCTAGAGCCTTCCCTCAAATTCAGGAATGTCGACCTTGATATCATTAGGGCAGAATTGTTGTTATTGTGGATGGCGACGATTATTGGTGGATGATGAACTGCTGCTTCCCGAATCTCCCTCTAAGTTTTCTCTGCTATTGTTTAACAGAGTTCGCTGTAATTTCACAGTGGCTTCCAACTCTCGTATCCTACATGTCATCTCTTCCATCTCAACCTCGTGCACATGTCTACATCTTGGAGGCATTTTAGATAGGTGTCAAGGCTAGGGATATGGGAAAGATTGGGGTGCAGATGGATACATTGAAGGATATAGGGGTAGAATGGGATTTTTGGAAAGGCTGGGGGCAAAATGGGAATTTTAGACAGTCTAGGGGTAAAATGGAGATTCTGGAAGAATGAGGGGTCAAATTGCAATTTATGAAAAAAAATAAGGGTTAAAATGAAATTCAGGTAAAATAAAGGGGCAAAAGTGTAATTTTAGAAATTTTAGCTGACTATGTTTGGTAACGTGGCGAGGATGACACGTGGCAGAATGCTATTGGGCTGACCTATCGTTGACCGATCAGTTCGCTGACGTGGCAGATGACGTCAACGTCTTCAACCTTCGGATGGCGCATGACGGCGCGTGGATTGGCGGCGAGGCGCGTGGACTTTAGACGGAGGTGCGTGGAGGTGCGTGGAGGTGTTTTTCGATGATAGGGAACCTCTTGTTCCATGTTTTCAGACCTCCTGAGCATGATGGTGATGTTAGTTTTTCGAGAAAATGCTTGGATTGCAAAACTCGAAGACGTCAGGGACTCCTCCTCTGAATCTCTCTTCTCTCCGGCGTACTTTCTCAACTATAACTCACTCTCTCGCTCTTTAAACCATTTTTGATACCAAAATGGTATAGAAACTGAATGAAAAAATTGCACTCTTGTTTATTTTTCAACTTGGCTGCTTAATACACTGGATCCATGGCCTATTTATACTGGAGTCATAGCCAAACGAAAACAGAAATGAAACAACAGAATTAAAATGGGGGTTTCGCAGGTTACAAATGATTTTTGAATGCTTTTAAATGGAGAACGTTTTAGCATCTTTATCAGCTTTTGTTTTCTGCCGTTTTCATCAACTTTCATTTCTGCCGTTTTTTATTTCAATCTTGATGATAGTGGATTAAAGCAAGCTCAACTAGTGGCCAATATGATAGGTAACGCGTGTAGTGATGACCTTTGGATAATTGATACAAGGGATTTAGTGCATATCACTCATGACGCAACGCGACTAATTAATAAAAGACGTGCCATGATCCCACCTGTAAGAGCACCAAATGGTGTAAGTGTACCAATCAAGGGAATTGGCAGTATGGTGTTGACACCAAAATTAACAATCAATGATGTTTTATATATTCCAGAATTTAAATGTCATTTGTTATCAGTAAGCAAATTCACCAAAGATTGCAATTGTGTTGTGAATTTTGTGGCTGATTTTTGTGTAATTCAGAACTTACATTCGAGGAGCCTGATTAGAGTGGGTAGGTGTGTTGATGGATTGTATTTTCTGCAGCCGATGTAACAAAAGGGTGTGGCGATGAGCATATGTCGATATGAAGATTATAATCTGTTGCATAGTAGATTGGGGCATACACCACTAGAGAAAATGAAGCATACCTCTTTATGTTTTGACTCCTTTAAAAATGTTGAGAATAAGCATTGTGACTCTTGTATTCAAGCCAAGCAGACTCGTTTACCTTTTACTACCAGTCTAATAAAGTCACGTTCTTGTTTTGATTTAATTTATTGCGACATGTGGGTTGCCACTTTGACAGGTGCTCATTATTTCTTAACGATTGTTGATGACTTTAGCAGAGGGGTCTAGATATACTTGATGAAGCAAAAGTTAGATGTGGGATACTATTTGCCTATGTTCATTAAGATGATTGAAACCCAATTTAACAAGCGTGTCAAACAAGTGCGTGCAGATAATGGACCAGAATTTCAATCTCGATCCATGATGAGTTTCTTTGAAAAGCGAGGGATCCTCTTGCAAACTACATGTGTCTATACTCCACAACAAAATGGAGTTGTAGAACGCAAGCACAGGTATATATTGGAAACTGCCAGAGCTTTATAGTTTCATGCTCATTTGCCAATCAAATTTTGGGGCGAATGCGTGCTTACAGCTACATGTATCATTAACTAATTACCATCTACAGTGCTTAATAATAAAACCCCATATGAGGTATTACATGTCAAAACTCCCTCCTATTCATATCTGTAAGTTTTTAATTGTCTAGCTTATGCTCGAAACCCCATTAAAGGAGATAAGTTTGATGAGAGAGGGAAGGCTTGTGTTTTTATTGGCTACCCTCATGGAAAACAAGGCTATAAGCTTTAGATCCTATAAAGAAAGAGTGTTTGGTCTCTCAGGATGTCATTTTCATTGAGCACGTCTTTCCATATGATTAAACTAAAGTCAATCCTCACTCTTCTGAGTTTCCGTCCATGCATTCCATGATGAAGAATTAATTCATTCTCATCAAGTGCCATGTGCTCCTCCTCCCACCAATTTGGGTATGCAAGCTAGTCATAGTGATAATGCCATGCTCCACTCCAGTAGCATCGAGCCTCTCAATGCTATTTTAACTGATGAAGCAGTACCTCGACAAAGCCAATGACCACATTCTATGCCTTAGCATTTGGCCAATTACAGTGTTGAATTACCATCATCTGTGTCACCCTCTTCTGTACTTGACACCACCACTCCATCAAGCCACTCGATCAGGTACTCTCTATCTTAGTTCATCAGTTATACAAAAATTTCACCCTTACATAAAGCATATCTCACAGCCATCACTGCTCATGATGAGCCAAATAACTTTCATCAGGCCAGTCATTTTCAGCATTGGCGTGACGCCATGCAAAAGGAAATCACTACTCTTGAAACCAACCAAACATGGACATTAGAGGTGCTGCCATCCAACAAACATATCATTAACTCCAAATGGGTTTATAAAATAAAATTTCACCCTAATAGAGAAGTTGCCTCTTATAAAGCTCGATTGGTTACTCGAGGCTTCACTCAAGTTGAGGGGGAGGATTATCACGACACATTTGCACCTGTAGCAAAGCTTGTTACTGTTCATACACTCTTGGCTGTTACCTCGAAACGACATTGGCATGTCTACTAACTAGATGTTAACAATGCTTTTCTTCATGGTGACCTTAAAACCAACTAGACATGGACATTAAAGGTGCTGCCACCCAACAAACATGTCATTGACTCCAAATGGGTTTATAAAACAAAATTTCACCCTAATAGAGAAGTTGTCTCTTATAAAGCTCGACTGGTTGCTCGAGGCTTCACTCAAGTTGAGGGGGAGGATTATCACGACACATTTACACCTGTAACAAAGCTTGTTACTGTTCATACACTCTTGGCTGTCGACTCGAAACGACATTGGCATGTCCACTAACTAGATGTTAACAATGTTTTTCTTCATGGTGACCTTGATGAAGAGGTTTTTATGCAAATTCCCCAAGGGTTCACTCATGAGGGGGAGACACGTGTCTGTTGTTTGTGAAAATCCTTATATGGGTTGAAGCAGGCATCTAGAAATTGGTACCACAAGTTTACTCAAGCCTTGAGGGACATTGGGTTCAAGTCAAGCAGAACAGATCACTCACTGTTGGTTTATCAAGCTCGAGGGTCTTACATTGCCTGTCTTATCTATGTAGATGACGTTATCGTGGCAGGAAATGACCTTGGTAAAATACAAGAAACTAAGCAATTTCTTGATAAGAAGTTCAATATTAAAGACCTGGGCAAGATAAAGTATTTCCTCGGTATTGAAGTGG